AAAGGTTTGTTTGGCCTCATTTTCAATGTGGGTTTTATTATTATGCATGTAAGTTAAGGCCAATTGATGAGGGAACCATTTTCATTGAAAGATAGCTTATTACTCACCGGAAGGGAAACCGTGGGGGACATATGAGGGAGTGTCAGGGTTGATCAGCAGGCAGCAGAAGGAGAAATTGGACAAGAGCCCTTTTGGTGGTTTCTAGAGGAAGGAATAAACAAGACAGGGTAAGCTGGTTTGAATCATCTCAGTAGGCTCTGGGACTGAGGGGCTGTCCTAGCTGATGGGTACCCAGATGAATCTGGAGTTATTAGGATAGGGGAATAGTGGCCCAGAATATAAAAACTCATTAAAGATGCAATTGGGGTATGGCTCCAGATTGGTTGGCTTACATATGAAAGGAGAGCTTGCAGGTGAATCCTTTACTATCTGTAGGAATCGGCTAGCCCTGGAGGGGAACACCCCCACGATCAATAAGGCCCCAGATGTCACAGCATCTGAGACACGCAAGTAATACAGCCCTATGTGCAGAAGAATTAACACAGCAGGCCCGATGCTGTCCTTTGACAGATCTGCTTAGGAGGGCCCTTCTCTGGATTCTGAGAATGGGGACTTTGGAAGGGTTCCCACCACCCTAATAAGAGTGAATCACCATGGAGCGCTGTGCAAACAATGTGGTTTTTGCTGAATACCAGCTTTCCCCCTGGGAGTCTGAGATTTTGGCATGTGTCAGGCAGCCACCAGTAAATCCCTGGGCACTGAGTTGCTAATGAGCCTCCCTGGCAGACAACCCTTTGCACAAGTTGTCATAACTTGTTGCTACGGGAATTGAGTACATCCTGTGTGACTCCCCTGGGAGAGGATTCTTGAAGGTTTGTGCCTGGTTTTTCTCTAGACTTTGCTCCACACATATTTTCACTGTGCTGATTTTGCTTTGCATCCTATTACTGTAATAAATCGCAGCGATAAGGACCATTGCATATTCTGTGAGTTCTYCTAGTGAATCATCAATCCTAGAGATGGTCTTAGCCACCTCCAACACAGTCTATCTCTCCATCCAATGCATACTAAAGCCAAATGCATTTGTAGGGCCTTTGATTCTAAAGAACTGATTTTTAAGCAATATTAACCACCACTAAATTTCTGACAGGTTGAATAAAAATTATACTTCTGATGGGCTTCATCCATGAAGACTGTTTTGTGATTATGCTGTTCCCCAGCTTTCCGAAGCTGTATTTTTGATTCTTAACTCAGTAACACAAGGAAATACCTCCTGGGCCCCTCCCTCATGGAACAGGGAACAATTTTCATTGAAAGATAACTTATTGTTCACATATCTCCATTGATGCCTATCTTTGGACTTTGTAAAATGTTATCAATTTATGGAAAAAAAATTTTTTGGTTCTTTATTTTTTTCAAATAAATATAAATTCACATGCAGTTATAAGAAAGAACACAGCCCCACACCCTGCATTTTTACCCAGCTCCTCCTGGTAGTAACATTTTACAAAACTATAACACAATGTCATAGCCAGTGTCTTGATACTGGTAGACTCCACTATCTTATTCAGATTTTCCCAGTTTTATTTGCTTTCTGTGTATGTATTAACTTCTAAATAGGTTTGTCACCAGTGTAGGTGCCTGTATGTACAACCACACCCAAGATACCAAATTGTTCCAACTATACAGGGATCCTGCAATTTGTCCCTTTATAACCACAACCAGTTCCCCTCCCCAGCAACCATAAATTTGATCTCCATATCTAAAACATTATATCAGGGACTCATTCTGTATGTAACCTTTTGTTATTGGTTCTATTCATGAGTAAAATTCCTCAGAGATTCATCCAGGTTATTTCAAGTATCAATAGGGCCAYCTCACCAGACACAGTGATGCAGACCTGCAATCCCAGTGACTTGGAAGGCTGAGACAAGAGAATGCAAGTTCAAGGCCATCCTGGATAACTTAGCAAGACACTGTCTCAAAACAAAAACTAAAAAGATCTGGAGATGTAGTTCATGTTAAAGCACCCCTGGATTCAATTACCAGTACTGCAGGGAAAAAAAATCATATATATATATATATATAAAATCTCCCCCTTTTCCATGATTTTACTTCCTGTAGATTCATTTTCCTGTGTCAACCATACTAGGAAAATATTAAATGAGATTTCCAGAAATAATTCATAAGTTTTAAATAACTTTTATTATGGTCTGCTATTATAATTGTTCTATTTTATTATCAGTTATTGTTGTTTATCTCTTACTATGCCTAATTTATAAATTAAACTTTGGAAAATGTATACATGTATAGGAAAGAATATAGTGTATACAGGGTTGGTGCCATGTGAAGTTTCAGGCATCCCCTGAGGGCCTTGGAACATATCCCCTGTGGATAAGAGAGGACTACTGTATATAGTTTGTGCCTTTTCACTACTAAGTAGTATTGTATAGCACAGCTGGACCACAGATGGCTGGTTTATCCATTCACCTGTTGAATGACATCTGGATTGCTATTTGGGCACTTACCAATAGAGTGCAGTGTACACTCCTGTGCAYACCTTTGTGTGTACATGTTTTCATTTTCTGGACAAATGCCTAGGTCAGACCACCATTGCCTATGTCATTTGTTGAAAATATCCCAAACTATTTTCTGAGTGTGAGTGATCCTAATTCTCCTACTTGAGTTTCCACTACCCCAGATTCCATTTGTACTAACTACAGAGGTAATTACAAGACACCACAAAACCACATTCCCCCTCTTAAAAACTTGCTTAAGTGTTAGAAGTCTGTCTCTAAAGAAGCTAAAATAGATAACAGAACCCAACATTCCACTGCCCTTCCCATGCCAGCGCAGATACAGGCCTGTTTTCTCCCCACCCCCACAAAGTTTTCCAAGGGAAGCTGTCCAAGATCCCCCAGGCCSAGTGGGATGCTTTATCTGTAACCTTATCTATCCTTACAAAGTGTTGCCACCTCTTTTGAAAGTACTACACTAATTGTCTTCCTTGCTATGTTCTCAATTCTCTGAAAGCAGGAAGGGGAAAGGTCTCACCTGCCATCCTACCCTCAATATCTAACCTCCTGCCTGCACACAGTAGGTGGTCAATGCATATTTTTTATGGCTGAATGAACAGTCCTAATCTCAAATATTGCACAATACTCCAGGCACCCCTTATCAACTGATTAAAGTTGACAAAAGAGTTAAAAACCAACCTGAGTTAAAAGTCAACCTGAGGACAACCCAACCCACTGTGGTTGACATGAATTCATGTCTCCTACATATTTCCAAATAATATGTATTAATGAGTTTTTTCCTAGAAGAACAAATGAGGCTCTTTGCTTGCCATAAGCAAAGAACACTTTGTTATGGTTATAGAGGCATATGTCAACCTTCAGAGCTTAGATCTACACATATGCTCTAACTAAATAACCTGGCTTAACTGCTTATTAATAGAATTAGTGATTTCTAACACAATTGTTGTCTGTACTTTCAAATTCCATTTTATGTTATTAAGTTCCTTTTAATGCTAGGAGACACGTTTCCAAAGGCAATAATTCAATATCGCCCTAGAAATGATTATCACCCTAGAGATGTATGTAATTGAATGCATAAGCTAATTCCTGCCAAGGGGCTTGGATACTTCTAATTAGTCTGAGTGCCTAAACCCAAGGCCAGGAATGTATCCAGACTGTTTCTACTGCTTCCAAAGAGCCTGGTATCCTCCGACTCATCATCCATCCCAGAAGGTCTCAGACCCCTGCAAAGGTAAGATAAAATAATAATTACAAATCACTTAGAAAAATGACTAGAAAATAGTAAGCATATGTATTCATCATGCCTCCCCCCAAAACCAGAACTAAAATAGTATCTATACACCCAGAAGGAAACATTTCAAGAAATTGGCTCATGCAATTGAGGGGGCTGCTAATCTGAATTGCAAGGCAAAAACTGAGCATGGTGGCACACACCTGGAATCCCAGCAGCTCCAGAGGCTGATGCAAGAAGATTGCAAGTTCAAGGCCAGACTCAGCAATTCGGCAGTGCCCTAAGCCATATACTGGGACCTTGTCTCAAAATAAAAAAATAAAAGGGCTGGGGATTGTGGCTCAGTTGTTAAGTGCTCTTTGGTTCAACCCCCAGTACAAAAAAATAAAAATCTGAATTTGCAGGGCAGGCCGAAAATGGTTCCCCCTCCCTAGGGGGGCGGGGAAAGCTATTCCATTTTTCTCATCAGATCTTCAACCGATTAAATGAAGCCAACCCATGTGGTAGAGGATAACATTTTTCATTCTTCTACCGATTTATTTATATTTTTTCTTCTGGGGATGCTCTTTATTTCAACTGATTATAGTAAACAATAGTATAAAATATATTTCTTTAAAAAGCACCAGCCCACACCCATCATTAATGATTTGATTATTCAGGAAAAGAATCTCCAGCCTCATCTACATAAACACAACACTGCTTCCAGTATAAATGTTAACTCCAAAGGCAGGGAGTCTAAATGATGGATTCTTTATGGGTATTTGAAYCGTTTCTTACAAAAGGGAATCTGAGAAGAAAGGCTGGCTCCTAACAGAGCAGGAACCAGATCCCTTTTTAACCCTTCAGTGATTCCTGGAATGCTCTGGCAGACTGGGATAGGTAAAGAAGGGGACTTTAATTTGCATGACCTAAACTCAAGTTCTAATAAACATTTTACTAGCTTGCAGTGGGTCACTCAACCTCTGTGCCTCAGCTCCCTCACTTGTCAATTACCTGCTACAGAGGCTCCATCTGCTGGCATGGTGAACCAGCTCATATGACCTTGGAAAACTGTAGAGTGCTACCCAAGAGTAAAGCAATTTGATGTAAAGGAGGAGGAGGAGACAGAAAAGCAATGAGAGCAACATCACAGAAACAAAGATGAGAGATGGAACCTACAACCGTGTATAAGAGTCCCTGGACACCCCTTCTGGGCTAAGGTCAGGCCTTAAATGATGATGTTGGTGGTTGGGTTCACTTGCCTTCTGAACTGCACAGAGAATAAAGCTTGTCATTAGACATGTTCCAGAGCCAGTCACTGGAAAARGAAATCAATATTCAGACCAATTATTGTGACAGCTACCATTTGTATGATTTAGCACATGATCACTTTTAAATCCTCTAAATCTTCACCTTGTCTCTGGACAGGAGACAGGCTGCTGAGGGGGCCCAGGCCTGGCCATGAACTAGGATGGATCTTCACACTTCCTCAAACCACAGAAAACTTGAACCAGGTGGTATGATTGTACTCCTCCCCAGGACTCAGCAGCACAGGAGGGAAGTGGCCAATTCTGGGTCTCAAGGTAGAAGCTGGAGTGCTTAGGATAGATGGCTCCTCTCTTGCCCTTCAGTGTGCCATTCAGGAAGGTACCCATGTAACACTGGACACCAGGACACCAGTGAGTACTTCTAGTACCCTCCCACTTCCAGCATGATACACCCTTGCACAGAAAGCTTTTCTTTGGATCCATCCATTTTGGGATCCAAAAGCTTGCACAAAAGCTTTTCTTTGGATCCATTCAGACAGAAATTATGGTCAATACCATCGATGTGGAACTCCTGAAGGTATTTTCCAAGCTCCACTGGTTTTCTTAGGCTGAATGCAGTTTCTTGCACTGGAGCAACATCTCCTGTAGGAATCAGGGCTTCATCCACAGGCAAGAAAGCATCAGCTTCTATGGTGACTTCAAGGTCATATATATTTGGGGATCCCTGGCCTGCCAGGTTGAAGTAAGAATGGTTGGTCAGATTGACTGGTGTGGTCTGACTGGCTTGTGCTCTATAGTTGACCACGAGCTCCCCGCCATCCAGGGTGTATGTCACCCAGACTTTTAACTCTCCAGGGTAGCCTTCCTCACCATCTGGACTGATGCGGGAGAACTGGACACCATTTGAGAGCACCTGAGGGGTCCAGAGGACCTTGTCAAACCCTTTGAGTCCTCCATGCAGACTGTTGGGCCCATTGTTAATGGCCAGGTGATACTCCTTCCCACCCAATGTGAATGTTCCTTTGGCAATTCGGTTGGCCACCCTTCCAACCACTGCTTTGGAGGTACCCTTCCAACTCAGAGAAGGCAAGAACCACGTCGGAGGCTTTCCCCTGCCTGTCTTTGACCTCCACAGCTGTGATGGTGCAGCCCCAGGAAATGATGTCCACTTTCAACAGGTCTGATTGTAGCTGGAACTTCTCCACTGTCCCTCCTCCCAAGGGCAGCTCTCCAAACACTGTTCTGGTCACTGAAACCATGGGGAAAGATTGGGGCATGCAGTTACTCCCTGCTCTTAAAACTCCAGCAGCCAAGTTTTCTCTTCTGCCGATTTAAATGTTAATGGCATTTTAAAAAACACATTCACAGCAACATCTGGACTGATGTTTTTGACCAAAGGCTGGGTACCACGGCCTAGCTGATTTAACAAAATTAACCATCACAGCACAGTATGGGGTAAACAATTATTAAGATTTCTTCTAGAGGATTTACTGGGCATAAGTTTGCTATCAGTCTCAGAAGTTCTGAATTTTGCTGGGCACAGTGGCATACARTGGTAATCCCAGCTCCTGGGGAGGCTGAGCCACGAGGATCACAAGTTTAAGACCAGCCTAGGCAACTTAGCAAGACCCTGTCTCAAATTTTTATAAAATAAGAGGGGAGGGGAGCTGAGGATGTAGTTCAGTGGTAAAGTACCCATGGGTTCAAGTCTTAGTATCCAAAAAAAAAAAAAAAAAAAAGATGTCCTGAATTTTATCCTCCTAACACAATGCTCCTCTGCTCCCCTCTCTCTGGGTTTTTTATTTCAATAGATTTCTTGTGCCCTCCCCTTATTTCACACTGAAACTCATTCTTCCTGAGCTATTCCTGATTGTGTTCCAGTGTCCAGTAAAGCTCAGGGCAGGGGTGTGCCTGACCCTTTTTTGTTCTCATTTTTCTCACAGTTTGAGACTCCCCTACCCTCAAAGAAAAGTCTTGTTTCTTTTTGGTTCCTGCTATTCAGCTATACCACCTTCCTCTTTCCAACCCCCCAAAATTGCATGCAGCTGAGACCTTTCTCTCCACCCTAATCCACCCCACCAGCTGGCTTCTCAATGCTCTCCCTTTCCCTTGTCCTCTGTTCTGCCTCCTTTGCCACCCTCATGTCCCAGAGACATGAGTTAGTATCTTCCTATGAAACTGTAACCTTAAACACATCACCCTGCCCTTGTAGACTCTGCTCACTCCATGATTTCCATTACACCATCTTTTTTACCTCATTACAACCTCCAGATCCCTGACCTCTGAGCTTAATGCATTCTATCACTTTCTGCCAGCTTCTCCTCCTCCTCTGTCCATCCGTATCCTATTCCCCTCTTCTGTAACTCTGCCCTCTCCCTCCTTTCCCTCTCCTTTCCTCACCACCTCTGCTCAGTGAAAACATAACTTCCTGCAGCCTCAGCCCTCAGCTCACCTGGACCCTTAAACACTGCCTTGGAGAGCTGTTATGCTTCCTTTTTTTTTTTTTCATAGTAACTGGTTCAAACTCTCCTCTGATGCAGTTATTCATGGACAGAGTCTTTGCTGGTACATTGTCCTGTTTTGTTTTGTTTTTTTCTCATTTTCAATCTTACTTGTCTGGTTGTCTCTATTTTTTCTTGAAATTCATAGTCTAACAGAAACAAGCTAAATACTCCTTGAGTCAATTCTACTCAAGAAATAAAGATCCATCCATCAAAGCTCAGAACTGACCATAATGTGGCATTTTAACACATTACTAGGTCAGACTGTAGCTTGGACAGCCAGCACTTTCTCCAGGTGACTCTACAATGGAAAAATAAAGTTGGTTACAGAAATTGGGAGGAAGAGCAAGTATAATGTTTTGCAAAATTAAATGCAAATATAATTTGCCAAGGCATCCAGAACATGATTATTATTCTGCTGTTGTTGTCCCTGTGTTATTCTTGGTAGCATCTGAAAAAAAAGTTTAACCTTAAAAACTCTGATAAAAGATGAAAAAGTTCATAATTAGTGTATCACGGCCACACAAATGTTGGTAGATAAGTAGCTAAAAACTTACAGTAACAAGAGTAATCAAAAGAAAAATATATATCTGCAAGGAGTAAGTTATCTTGTGTACTTCAAAAGCATCGGCTAAAGCCAACTGAAATAGTTAAAAAGAGTTCTCTTGATTTTTCAATCAGAAATCACATCAACTTTGTGCAGAAGCCAATATAACATGCAGATTCTACAGTCTGGAATTTCCTTTCCACTTTTGATGAAAGGGATGCAAAATCAGCTCTCAGTGTAGGAGGCTATCTTTCCAGAATCGAGGAGAAGCCAAGAGGATGTGTAGCTCTCACATGGATTCGTAATCAGAAACCAGACTCCTGTCTTTACATTTCCATCATAAATCACTTCCAGGGGCTTGTTCTGTCTGCCCCATGACCTCAGATACTGTAGCATGGCTCACCTCAGCTACCTTTCCAATAGCTCATGGTCCTGTCTCTGTAGACACAAATTCTCGTCCCCCACTGCTGACATGCCTGCCTTGGCCAATACATCAGACACCCATGGAAGAAAGCTAAATATCTCAGAAACGATTTTCAAAACCATTTTCATATGATCTTCTGAATCAGTTGTAAATTACAGAAATGAACTTTGGCTAATTCAGGAAAAATTCAGGAGAGGAGTTTGAGATATTCAAAATATCTCTCAGGGCCTGCAAAACCACCAGCCAAGCAAAAAATTCAAAATTACGAGTTGGCCCCAGGGAGACCTCACCAATGCCACTGCCTTTCCAGCTGCCATCCCCAACAGCAGGCTTTGGATGCATCACTAGGAACCATACCCTTCATACTGGCTGCACTTGGGAGTGGACAGTCCCCATACTACCACCCACACCTGCAAAGAAGTCCCTGCTGCACCACTTCTTTGGAACACCAGCTCCTGAGCCAAAGGCTTGCCCAGAAGCTTCTGAAGGAGGAACTGTTGTCACTGTGAGCTCACGAGAGCCACATACCAAGCACAGTGCTATGAGCTTTACTGGGATTATCTCACATAGGCCTTCCAACCAACACAAGAGAGATGTTGTCATTATGATCAAGAATATCATTTTTGTTGAGGCACAGGAAGCTTAGAGAAATTAAGTCACTGCCCCAAGATTAGAAAGCAAATCAGTGATGCAGCCTAAATTTAAACATCAGACCACCATGCCATATGACTTCTTTTAACACATCTGAAAAGATCTCCAAAGGCTGTAAACCACAGCCTAGATTTCTGGATCATTTCTGGGTTGTTTGTTTCTTTCTTTAATTGAGCATAATTTCCACATTAACTTTGATGTCAAATAGTTTAAGTTTTGACCCCAAGTCATCTGTGGCTTATGCCATACTCCTCAGTATGTGCAAATACACTTTGCAATTGCTAGTGCACATTGACACTCTGCAATCAAAGATCTCTACTATTTTAGGGGACACACACATACATACATGCGTATGCACCTCTACTGCAAGGATAGGTAGGTAAGCAAGTAAACCCTCAGCACATGCTATTTTCAAAACTCTACCTGTTATAATTCCAGGTTAGAAGCTGAAATTTATCCTTGAAGATACTTTATCTTTCTCCTGGGAGGGACCATTTTGATGTTCAGTCTTGCTCATAGGGGTCTACACTTTTCTTGAACTTTGGTGAGGTTATCCAAAGGCATCTGGCTCTATTCTATTCTATTATAGTTAAATATAGTAAAGTGACCTCTACAGTGGATGGGGTATGCCTAGATAAGGATGATTATAAGGTAAGGAATTTAAGGTTCCCACCACCAGACTTGTAATATGGGAATTCAGGATCCTGAAGTTCTGTGTGGAGGGAAAACATGAGTTAGGGCCCCCCCACCTAACCGCACCTCCTCTGCAGCCCAGAAGATGCCAGGCAGCAACCTAGGAGGAGGCTGGCGAGATGAGCTGAAGTGGAGGATTCTGCAGGTAAAGGCAATGGCTATGAGAACACAGAGGTGTGAGCTGTTTCCTGTTCCGAGTGATGATCTACTCTGTCACCCCCAGGCTTGCATACCAGCTCCCAGTTCATTCACTCTGTTTTACAGTGAAGGGGACAAGGCTGTTGCAGCATTTGGGACAGGGATGAAATGGACTAAAGGAACTCAGAGGAACAAGTAGAGACAGTGGCATGGTGCCTGGCCAGAGGTGATGACCACCCACTGGAAGCCACTTGAAGCAAGAGGAGATAAACAAGAACAGGGCGGGGGAGTGGGAGGGATGCTGAGATCAAACCTGGATCTTTGGGGAGGGGACCAGCATGCTGCCCCTGTGAGGTAAGTGCTCATCTTTGTTGAAGGTGACCCCTGAGGGCTAGAGAGTTCAAGGACAGAGCCACCAAAAAAATAAAATAAAATAAGAGTTTTCAGAAAGAAAGCTAATAACAGTAATAATTAAAAGTTGATAACCAATCCCTGAGGATAAAAGCAATGAGGCTAAACATATCTTCAGATGTATGAGAGGCAAATGAGATTTTTAGAACTGAATTTTTTCCTGAAGCAATAATACTATGCCAAAATTCACTGCAGTAACAAAATTCCTCTAAGTTTCTGCTTTATTAAAGTATAATGTATATCCCTGAGGAATTCTACAATGGGATTGTGGCTGAAATCCTTTTTTAACCATCATTTTCATTTAGCATTAATGACTAAAGTTATGAGATATATATATATAGAGAGAGAATATAACTTGAAAAGACTGTTAGTCATTCTTGAGTGTTTTATTAAGATGTCAAGACACCATGTGCAAATAAGAAATTGACTGACTTTTTTGTCTCATCTTCTCTCAACTCGGAATCACCCAAGGCATGGAGCCTTGAACTTGGAGAAGATGATTTAAATAATGGGTACTTCAATGTCCTTTTAAAGTGAGAGGCTCAGTGGTTTTAAAGCACAAAAGAAAAAAAAAGAAGAGAAAAAGAGACCCAATTAGAAGAAACTGCATTTTCAGAGGGCAACATGAATGCCTGAATAAATAGACTAATGTCCCCCTCATTGTTCCTGTGTGGTCGTTTGTAAAGCCCCATGTTGCTTTTAGAAATGGAATAAATCTTCATTTGAAAAGGCCTTTGAAATAAGGAAAAGGTATTGGAGAGGCAGTGATCACAGATTTCAAATGAAAGATACTACACAGTTTTTTCCATTTGCTACTGAAGCCTTCCATATATTGCCTTTGAGGCTCCAAGCCTCCTGGGTCCTCTGGCTTGACCCCTGCTGTGTTTAAGGCAAA